TATTGCAGAATAACCTGTTTGCTGAGCAACCAACAATCAATCCTAAACTGGAAATAACCCTCAAAGTAAAGATTCTTTGTGGAGTTTTTTTCCCCATAAACAAACAGCTCAGTTTTACATTCAGTGTTACTCACTAAAACAGTGTGTATCTCTGAGGTCTAACAGACACATTGAAGGTGTTTCCTGCCCGATAAAGTTAACCCCTTCAACACTAAGTATCTTTGCTTGAAATTCATGATCAGCTATGGTTTTGATTAATCATTCACAAATTCTTAAGTAGACTTCACATCATTACATATCTGGTATCAATCAAAAGTAGACAAGTTGACGGTTAGATATATATGGAAGTTTACGCTTGTCATATACATACAGGTCAAATACAGGTGTGAAAAGGAAAAGGTAAACTTAATAATTACCAAGGATATATATGCCTATATTATTACCTCTGCCAAAGAGGTTATGTTTTAGCTGGTGTTTATCTGTTTGTTGGTTGGTTTGTTGGTTTGTTTGTTAGCAACATAACTCAAAAAGTTCCTTTTTTTTTTTTTTAGATAATGACACAATGAATATATGATTAAATTCTGGTGATGTTCTGGCTTACCGTCTGGTTGTTCTGTCATAAAACAGTCAATGCTGTTAAGTGTCACAGACAGTGTAAAGTGTCATGTAGAAAACCTGCTATTACACAATTTTTAAATAGACAGAATATTCATAATTCACAGCTTTTAATGTGTTGATAATGTACCAAAATGAAGTATGACAGTTTTTCAGTGTGCAGTCAGTCAGATGATGATTGTGGTGATGTTTGCAGCCATGCCAGCCGGCCCTAATAGTAAACCAGTGAAATCAGACTCCNTAACCAGTGCTCTAGAAACCAGCAGGTCTTCAGAGCCAACATTGATGGCTTGATGGAACGCTTAAACCAAACTGGAGGTAAAATATTTTTGAATGTATGTTTAAGTTTTCACTGCTGAAATGTGTTCTCTCTGTGTTGTAAGATGCTGCACTCAATGTCAAGTCTTCTTCAGGAAAACTGGTGATTGTATGAAATAATTTACTGATAATTCAAGTTTTCTTCAAGAATGTCCTTGTAGGCACATAATTCTAATATTCTCCATGGAGTTTTCTGACAAGCATAAACAGCAGAGTGATGTCTATTACCAGATATCTAGGAGATCTTTTCCCACAAAGACAGGAGACATAAACCTTTTCCACCATTTAAATTGGTTGTGTTACCATAGCAATTAGTTACCATAAACCAAAATCAGACTTTGGTTTCCGTTGTGTCATCATTACTAAGGAGTCACTCTGTCTGCTCTGTTTGCTCATTAGTGGGCCTTTTCTGTTGAAGGAATTTGTCACTTTATAGGCCACATTTATCTAATATGTGTATTTTTATGTGTTACTATTACAGGGCATATAAATCTAATTATGTGTGCACTCACCAATATTGCAGATCAACCTGTTTGCTAAGCAACCAACAATCAATCCTAAACTGCAAATAACCCTCAAAGTAAAGATTCACTGTGGAGTTTTGGTTTTTTTCTTCATAAACAAACAGCTCAGTTTTACATTCAGTGTTACTCAATAAAACATTGTGTATCTCTGAGGTCTAACAGACACATTGAAGGTGTTTCCTGCCTGATAAAGTTAAACATGAAGCATATTGTGAAAACAATATGGTAAGTCTTTTTTAATCTCACTGTGGGGAAATTTGCAGCAAAGTGGATAGTGCAAACATGTAAGTAATATCAGTAAAAAAAAAAAAAAAAAACCACAAGTACTAGCTCAGGTTGTCCAAAGTCCTCTGGATGTGGAAATAATAATATTGCACATTTAAATGATATTGCACAGATTATTTCAAGAGAAGAACTACTGACAGAGAAATGTTAATATTACACAAATTTTATTTATATTGTACAGATTTAAGTGGAAAAATACTGACATTGCACAGACTCGCCAGTTTTTCAGTGTGCAGTCAGTCAGATGATGATTGTGGTGATGTTTGCAGCCATGCCAGCCGGCCCTAATAGTAAACCAGTGAAATCAGACTCCCTCTCTGTGTCCCAGGTGCCCACATCCTGCAGAGAATGAACGGCTGTGAATGGGACGATGAAACTGGAGACATCAGAGGTTTTAATCAATATGGATATGATGGTGAAGACTTCATAGCGCTGGACCTGCAGACGCTGACATGGATCGCTCCAAAACCGCAGGCTTTTATCACCAAACTGAGATGGGACACAGAGAAAGCTCGACTACAATTCAATAAAAACTACTTAATCCACGAGTGCCCCGACTGGTTGAAGACATATGTGGACTACGGGAGGAGTTTTCTGCAGAGGACAGGTAGAATAACACAACCTGAAATACACATGGTTATGTACTTTATCTGTTTCTGTCCACATGAATGGACACAAAACACATCCTGATCTGTCACATTCAGTTAAGACTCATCAGCTTCTCTCCCCAGATCTTCCCTCAGTGTCTCTCCTCCAGAAGACTGCCTCCTCTCCGGTCACCTGCCACGCTACAGGTTTCTGCCCCGACAGAGCCGACTTGTTCTGGACCAAAGATGGAGAGGAGCTTCATGAGGACATGGACAAAGGAGAGCTCCTCCCCAACCATGATGGAAGCTTCCAGATGAGTGTTGACCTGAAGGTTTCATCCATCGCACCTGAAGACTGGAGGAGATACAACTGTGTGTTTCATCTGTCTGGTGTCAAAGACGACATCAGAACCAAACTGGACAAAGCAGCGATCATATCTAATGAAGGTGAGACTGGAATAGAAGTGAAGTTATCTCAGTCAAGGTGATCTTTTATTATTTGTTTATCTGCTATCTACTATGATACCTTAAAAACTCTGTAACTGCTGTTTAGGAAATATAACCAACTATGTTTCCAGATATTGTTTGGCTCAACAGAAATACATTAGTTAGGTCACTTTAAACAGAACAAACAACAATATTCACATTGGCATCGGGAAATCAGGTCAACAACTTTTAAGTCAGCTATTACAACACACTTTAATCATCAAGCCTTCACTAGTTTTATTTGATATTCTCATCTTTTGAACTTCTTTTCAACGTTGCTGTTTTTATTTGCTGTACTGTGCTTTAATCTGTCTCTTAAATTCTGATGCTTTCAAGTCTCTACCTTGTAAAAAATGCTCTATAAATCAGGATTATTATCATTTTTACCTTGTTGGACCTTCTCAGTTTCTCCTTCAGAGTTTCCAGCTGGTCCTTTTCTTGGTGGTGTGGTAGGACTTTTGCTGCTGCCGGTCGTCTTCATCGCTGGACTCTTCATCAGGAGAAGAAGCAGTTTTTGTGCGAGAAGATGATGTTTTTATCCTCTAATGTCTCTGTGATCAAACCATGCGGTTTTCTCATGTATCTGCATGTTTTGTGTGGTACTTTTGGTACGTCATTTAGTTGTTTTTTTTGTTTGTTTGTTTTTTTAACAATTTATGGTGAAGAACAAATTGCACATTCTGAAACGTTAATCATTTTGTACCATTATCTTTCTTCTGTGTTCAGGGTTCCAGCTTTCTCACGGTTAGTATTCTGCCTTTAACTATGTCAAACTGATTTTCTTCTTTCTTCTTGGAACTAATATCCTGATCCCTGCACTTGGCAAGATCACACTTTTTGTGACTTATTTGTTTTAACATGAGAAGAGTGAAGATTAGAAGAGAATGCCGAGTCAGGAAAAACAGGATTTTCCCCTGTAGATGAACATCTGGATGGTTCTGGTGTTGCTAATTGAGATGCAACAGCTGCTCAGTCACACGAGGTCAGGCAGTGTACAATAATACAGATGCATCCTGCTCACTTTACCTGACGCAGGACTGGTGCAGCCGCTGTTTGCCTCAGAGGATGTTGGATATCGTCAGCATTGAGGTGAAAAGGATTCGCTGTAAACAGTTTGGCCACCAGATGGACTCTGATCCAGTAGTATGTTGTTGAGTTTCTCCCTTAGAGTTTCCTGCATCGCTGGACTCCTTATCCAGAGACAGAATAATGATGACGAGGGACAAACTAGGCTAACTGATTAAGGCTGATTAAGGGTGTCAGATGAGTTTCCAGCTAATGAACTAAATGTATTTAGAGAAAGTAAAGAAATATTTCAGAGGTTTTTCTTTAAAACATGCAAGTGGGTCATTGTGTCAATAATATTATTTTAGTCTGTACTGACTGTACAAAACTGTAAGTATTGTCAAAAAAATGTATATATTTTATTTTTTTATTCCTGGTATTAAACTCTGATTGTGTCTTGTGTCCTCTGCTTGTGCTTTGTTCAGAAAACAGAAGTGGTGGAATCTGGTTTGATGATTTATTTTTTTTATCCTCCTCAGAACAATCTAGTTTAGATGAGGCTAGTTGATATTTAGTGGTTTTTGGTTTGGATCTGGTCTAATGTGGTTCAGACTTTTTTTTTTATTTTAAAGGTTTTTGGGGGGCATTTTCACAAATAAAGCTTCTACATTCCAGAGACTTTGTTTTAAAGACATTGTGCCTCTCTGGCATCATGTAGCCCTGATCTTCTCTAAAAAGTAATGTTTGGGCTCAACCAAAAATATTGATGCCACTGTTTGCATCAGTGTCTTTAAGTTATAGCAAAGTCTGATGGAATTATGTTTAACCAACAGACTAGCTTGAGTTTCTTCTATATTTTTAATTTCCAGTCAAAAACATCTGAAATTGTCCACGTTAAGACAGAAATCCTGAACTCAAGCTGGAGATTAAGATAATTTAGTATCTTACATCAACTTCAGTTTTAACAGACATTTAAGTTTAAATTGTACACAATATGAAGTGAATGTAATTATTATATCAACATGAAAATGATGTTTGCAACTGACAGAGTTTAAATCAGTAAATGAGGTTTATTTTATGTTGCAACCAAACATTTAACTGAGCAGGAGGAAAAAAGGCCATTTGAATAACTTTTTAGAATGTATAGGGTTTTTTTGGTCTCAAATGTGCTGTACATTAAAATAATAATAATAACATAGAAGGTATAATCTGTCTTGTTTGCACTTCCACAAATGAGATAAACGTTTCACACATTTTACAGTAGGTCTGAGAGCAGCACAGGTTCACCTGAAACGTCTAACACTGTTTTCCATTAAAATGTGGGAAAAATAAGGAATCTGTCGCTCAGCAGTGTAAGATCAGTTTTCCTGAACTTTTCTGGCTTTCGCATTGTTTCAGCTCATTCATGCAGCTTTTGTTTGAGCTGCTTCTGCGTCTGAAGTCTTGTGACTGTTGGACAGCCCCAGATGTTCAAGTCTTTACGTGAGGAAGTCCAGAGTTGCAGGAAAAAACACAACTAAGTCACTTTTCTGAAATTAGGAAAGGGCTGACATCGACTTCTTTATCGAGACAAGATGAAGAAGTTGTTGCTGCTGCTGCTCTGTGATGTTGCTTCTGCAGGTAAGATCTCACTTTCATCTGTCAACATGCTGCTGGACGGTTATGATTTAATTTCACTTTCACTTCAGTTCTAAAAGCAGCTAAATCTTCATCTGGTCGCATTTTATATCTGCTCCTTAATAATGTCGGTGTGGCTGAGTCTGATGAAAGTTGTGTTGATGCGGAATAAAGTCATTGTTAGTCTCCATGTTGTGGCTGTGAAACCTGAACTAAATAAAAACTTAATTTACAACAGAGTATGACACAAGAGACAGTTTTACTCAAATGGATTTGACTTGTTTCTCCAACATGTTCATCATCTTCAGCAGATAAAACCTTAAAGTATTCAGATTCTTTACTCAAGTAAGAATAGCAGAAGCTGAATGTAAAAACACTCCATTACCAGTCAACATGCAGCACTGACTGCAGCTGATGTTGTTTCATTACTATTCATCATTGTGACCTTTGTGATTGCCTCAGAAATGACCCATTTATTTCCTGTGTTTAGGTTTAGGCACAAAAACTACAGAACTGATGTAAAGTAACTGAGTATATTTACTTAAATACAGTTGGTAGTTCTAGTTTTTCATATTTTTATTCGTTGTACTTGTACCTCACAATGGATTCAAAGAAAATTTCGCATATTTTATACTCCAATACATTAAAAAAAATAAAATAAAAAAGCTGTTTGTCACTTTACTTTCTAATCACGTAACAATAATAATATAACTCTGACAATGGGCACTTTCTGTGAATCTCAAAAATCTAAAAGTACATTTTGTTGCCAGCATGTCTGTAGTTACTTGAGTGAAATGTGGAATAGAGGACTTTTACTTTTACTGGGAAAGGGAAAGTGTTGTACAGACTGAAAGAAACACCACCGAGTGCTGAAAACAAGAAGCTAACTTCAGTCTCCCATGTCAAAGTCGCATGTTTTGCAGCACAACAGTGACGTCGTGCAACTTCTGCATTCCTCCTGGAGTATCGTAACTCACAGTGATGCAAGTTCTGTTATGTTGTACACCGTCACAGTGGATTTGAAATGAAGCGGTGAAGATGTAGACAAGAGTGGGCCAAAATTCTTCCATGTGTAACACTGTGAGGCATCAATTAAACAGTGATCTCTGTAGTTGATTTAAACACAGTGCCATAGTGTAAAAAGAACATTGTAAAAGAGTGAATTAATATATTTGATTATAAGAATTCATTTGTACAAACTGACATCATTACAGAAGCTGCTCATTATGTCATGTGGCCATACTGACAGTTTTGCTCTTC